TAGAACACAACTATAAGGATAAAATAAGGTATATTAAAGTATATAAAGACTCTAAAAGTGTTGTAAATGATTACAATTCATTGAATACAATATGATAACCTTAAATTATAAGCTAAAGCATTATACCTATATTATAATTTTGAAGACAGTCTTATATTTACATTGTAAAACAGTTTGTATTATCTATACAATGATTTCAACTACCTGTAACACTTATATTACTCTGTTTAAGAGAATATAAACATGCCAGATTGCTATCAACTGTATTATAGAGTAAATTAATACTTTTATTTTACATCTAAATATAATAATTGATTTGCTTTACAGCTTTGCTACTATCACGAACATTGATTACGTAATCACATGCTGAAGATCGAGAGCATATAATGACGCACTTACAGCTGTCACTCTTTCTCTCCGACCTCCACCATCTCTCTAAGTCTAACCCTCTGCCCTGACACTATGTCGTTGCTTTCGTTCCCTCCAGCCAAGTCCTCTGCTTTAAATGTCCTCCAGCAGGTACTCCGAGAGCAACAACAGAAATAAACATTGCTGCAACTCGTCTCTCTAATCTACTGTTGCAGTGCCTGTACGGAGCCTCATATCCCATGTTGTGCCACTGATATGACTACACGGTCCTTCAACGTAAAGCGGTAAGCAGCCAGTCCACTTCATAATAGCCTGCACAATAGTTGCTCATCCCTCTCCTCCCAACATTTTGTCTCCCTTCCATCCCTTCCGCTCCTCACTCTGTGTCTCGTGTTGCCTCTCCTTCATTGTCCTCCTTTTTTTACGTTCGCCTTCCTTTTCGCATTCGCATTCGCGCATCTTGTTGACTAATGCCGAACGACTCCTTCAATAACTCCATGCATCCGCATACTTCTTCCCACTCTGCAGCGCAAGCAATAATCGACGAGCACATGCTCGCGACAATGTCCATGTACGACCACTCCTATGGTACCACCCTCTCTCCGATACTGTACGTGTTCTACTTCTCCATTCATTCCATGCTTGACATCACTCTTGACAGGTCCACCCTGCTTGTATTTACATTCCTCAGTGCCGTCCATGACACCATTTAGAATAAGGTAAGCAGTGGCCACCGCTTACCCCTCCTGAGCCGAGTCCGTTCACGTCACCCATGTCACCCTCTCCCTTCGAGCCAGAACGTCCCAGAGATACACCTTTGCAATCACCCACAACGGCTAAGTTCACTGCACCTCTGATTACAAGACATAGTCAGAGCATGCAACGTGCACGTATAGACACGGCTTCGCCTGCTGCCCAATCAGCTCGTTCAACGCTCAGGACCTTAACCTGGGTGCGCCACTCATCCTTGCTTCACACCGTCACGGTGCATCCTTCTTTTTGCTTAAGTACTAGCACACGCTAACATTTCACTCCGTCAATTCCATAACCTGTCTCACAAGCGCAATCTCGACCTCTGCAACCCTCACAACATCACAATCCGCACACACGCACAACTCGATTCGCTGGGACCGTGCAGCAACCAAGGCACAGAGACGAAGACCACATCAAACGGCCCGAGAACGCATTTATCCTCTTCCGTCGCGAATGCTGTTGGAAAAGGAACGAGGCGGGGGCAGCTTGTCATACATTGCAAGTACTGTGACTCAGTGTGAGTGTCTCTTCGTCAGCATCTACCGCCGATTCTGACGACTACGGCGAATTCGATTCGCTCTTCTCCGATAGTTCACTGTATGGCTGCCCGTTCGGATATCTGCACACGGCGTGCAGTAGCGTGCACGAAGTGGAGATGGCGGACTGCTGATTTTGAGATGGGTGTGCAAGGACGGGGTCAACTGCAAATACGGTCATTACCGCTGAGCCTCTCGATGCCCTCGCTTTCTAGTAATCCGTCTGGATCTGGTCAAGGTATGAGCCTGGCAATCGACACCCGTAATGCACTCGTTCGCCGCTCGAGTCTGGTCCGATCCCAACCTCTACCTACTCGTATTCGCATCACAGCAGACATGGGACACTCTCACTCGCTCTCTGCACAAATCTTGACGCAGACTGCACTATGTATGTGTTTCGGTTTATTTT